CTCCCCAGTGATGCTGGAGAGACTGCAGACCTCCTGAGTAGTTTCCTTGAGTGCTGCAGCCCCTAGTGCCACTCCAAACATAGACTTGTCTGTCTGGATGCTCTGAGAGAACTGAGAGCTATTAGCCTGTGACAGAGCAAGAAATGTTAACAACTCCTTATGCTCCCCATAGCAATCACTTCAGATAAAAGATGCACCAAGGGCCAGAGACTGGAGGTTCCTGATAACTCCATTTCAGAAGCACAAGAAGGGACAGTTTCAGTGCTGGTAAGAATGAGAAACTGGTACCTACTTTGACCTGGCTGCTGGAGGGCAAGAGCCAAGGCAGAGCTAATGTATGTTACTAAGATTCAACCTGCAGCGCTCTGTCCGGCTGCTGTGGCTGTGACCAAAGGCATACTTTGCCCTTGTCGCTCCACAGAAGTGATGTAATGTCACTGAGAAGTTTGCTGAGCTTGAGGAATTTCCCCTTAGTTTGGCAAAAATCTGCAACAGCCAGTCACCAAATAATAAAAAAGTTAATTCCAGAAATTTTAATTTTTCTCTTACAGGAAATGAACTGAAATAGAGGTTATAGAGCTGTTGGGTAGCCCATATAGTGATTGCTGTATTTGTGCAGAGAGTTATTTTTGTAACTTTTTCAAGAGTTTCTGATATCTTCTCTAGCCTTCTCTTTCTTTCTCAAATTCTCTTTAAAAGCCATGCACTGTTTCACTGTTGCTTTTATGGATTCCTATATATTGGGTGTCCTCCCTTTTAAATTTTCTTTTTCTAATAAGCATGCGAAGATTAGTAAAGCAGTCCACTCCAAGAGAAGGAATTTTTGGCTCCAGATAACATTAAATACAAATACTTTAGTGGTAGTGAGCATAGCATAAAGCACTAGACTTCTAGGCTTGGTCCTGCAGTAAGATTTGGTAGCATCCCATATGGCATGCCACTGGACTCGGTAGCCGATCTGATAATAAGTTCTTTCCAGTAAGACCCCCTCATGGTGCCATTGCTATGGGAGGATGAGAATGAGAAATGAGAGACAGGAGGCAGGACACCCAAGAAATTCCACTTTGAGTTCTGACATTGACTGCCTATGGGTGATCTGACAGAAGCTACTTAAATGCTCTGCACATGAAACAATTTTTATCTCTAAATGGGAATAATACCAACCACTGAAAGTTGATCCAAGATGTAATTCATGAGGAATTGATGAATACCTGGTGGCTCTAAGTAAAAGAATAATTTCTCAGTGTTCCTGTCATGCTCTCCTCAGCTATTATGTATTGAAACAAACTGACATGTTAGTGATCTTACTGTACTGATCTTGATTCCCTATTTAGTATTTCTTATTTTGTTCCTCTTCTTTTTGCTGTGGTGCCTGTGATGATCCTGCAGTTCTGGACCCCTTGTCAGACTTGATAAATAGCTTTGCTCTCTTTTACAGCCAACACCAGCAGAAAACCTATTGATTTTTATTTATTCTGATTGTGCTGCAGTAGTCTTGTCATCTCCTATCAGTATGCTGGGAATCCTCTCCTCCATTAACAAACCATTAAAACAAAGCAGAACACAGAAATTAGAGGAGAGAGTACAGCATAATGTAGCAATGTCCTAAATAACCTGTGAAGCAGAGTTTGTGTTGAGGCATTTCTTTCAAATGAAGGGAGACACAAAGCAGAACTTGGGATAACGTGGCAGAACAGTGCAGGAAAATCCTCTAGTGTCACTCTCAGGCATGTAGATCTTTCATGTCCCACTAGGACATAAGATCTGACAGTCCAACCATTAAGATTTCCTTGATTTGCTCTTATTTTCTTTGTGCACATTGGTCAAAAGCGTTTTGGAAGGATCTCTGGATATTGCTGTTGTTGCTGGGCAAAGCAAGTGTGCTCACCTAAGGCAAATCAAATAAATAACAGTAAAAACTGATATATGAAATGTATATATCCTTGAGTCACAGCTCAGTGTCTGGTTGAGTTGCTCATTTTGGTAAGTTGTGCCCAGGAATAGCAAGGCCCACTGTCAGGTGATGGAAACAAATCCGCTCACAAAACATCTTCCTGACGCTCCAGTCTTTTCCTGGTTTTATTCAGGTACTTTAAATCTGGAACAGAAGCAACTCTTGTTTTAGGGATGTATTATTTTTCCTTCTCCTTCCTTTATATTTCATGACATTTGTGGGACAAGAGGCCCAATGTGACTTCTGCTTCTGGATGCGAACAGTAAAGTCTCCAGTGTGTCTGTCTACAGTGAACATGATCCAACCTTCTACTTTTTAGTTTACTGTGCTAATAATAAGGGCAATAATAATAGTAATGAGTACTGAGGGCCACATCTAGCTAGAGGAATGTGACTCTGATGCCTTTGAAAAGTGCAAACATCCACACGCGCTGTGTGTACGCAGAATCAGAAGCTAATTGTTGTTATGTGCCAAATAGCATGTTGGCAGGATTTATACAGCAAAGCCCCTGGCATCATGAAAACCCTAACCCCAAATGCTCTTCTTTGGCAAAAAGAAAGAAATTTGGACTCTGGGCTACTCTTGCTATTAGATAACTGGCAGATCAAATATTTACAGGGACCATATTGTTTAGATTTTTCTTCATCCTGTTCCTCTCAGCCAATCTGAACACAGAGCAGCTGGGGTTTGTTTACCTACCAAGAACTGAATCTCAGGCAGGTTATGCAGGTTTTATGTTCTGACTGGCAAATGAGAATATACAGAAAGTCACTGATACCAAGGCGGTGTAGATCAACATGTCTGTTTCTGTGCTGGTTTTCAACGTTTGATATATTTCACCTCCCCTAACACTACTTTATTTTTCTTGACAATTGGACAAAGAGTTTGAGGTGTTAAGGGACTTGAGAATGTTTCAATCTGTGGTCTTTGTAGTTTGCAATCTTGGACTAATTTATACCCCCCAGGGGAATAAAAACCCAAACACAACCTATGATTCCTGGGTAGATATTTCCTGTAGCTTTCATACACAAATAATTGTCTCATTGATATGACTCTGTCCTATCATGCTAACAATAAATCAAATCCATGTGCCCCTCTCCTTATTTTGCTGGTTAGATTTACTAATAAAAATACCTTATGACTAGAAATGAATTGCAACAGTATTTTGAAAGCTGGTGGAATGAGGAAAGTGCAGAGGTGCTGTGGGATGCCCTAGCCAGACGTGCCCCTGACATCTCTGCCAGCTGTTGAAGAGCAATAGCAACCAGCTGAGTGGTTGCAGATCTGGTGATGTGATGAAAAAAAGAGAAAATAAGGCAATAACAGGAACATCTGAAATGATCACCATCTGTTTAGGAAACATCATACCTGTTAAAATAACGGATTTACATTTTGTTCTCCTTGACTGGTTCAATTCATTGGAGGGGCTGGACTCATAGATTATAAAATATTTCACCTTGGTTCAATCTGTTGAACAGAAATGTGCTAAAGTTGTTGAACCATTTGAGAAGCAGTTCACTGCAGGAGATCTTTGGAAAGCTGAAAGATGGAGGGAGAACTGCGACATAACATGATGTGCCCCTCCCAAACACGTAACAGCTAGTGTTACCAAATACTAATCTGTCATCAGAATTGCCTTGTGAGACTGTGGCAAAGCCCAAATCACCCCGGCTTTGAAATGAAATTTTTCCTGTACAGGCACGGGACCTCGAGAGCAGCTAGACACATTCTTGACTCAGACTTCTGCCTTTGGAAAACATATTGGATGCTCCTGCGTTGGCCTTTTGACTGCGTATAGTCTTGCCCATGTGTTAGGATGGCAGTGTGCCTGTGCACAAAGTGTTATGCCAGTTTCACAGAGGTAGAAGTGCCAAGCAAAATGGACTTGGCTGGGCAGGCTGCACAGCTCTTGGAGAGTGCGGCAAGGCTGCAGTAAGTCTTTTTTGGTAACAAGAATGTCAGAGGGGTAGGACAAGTCTGTTCTCGTGTTTGTTGACATCCGTATGCTGGAGGAGGTTGTTCAGGAAGGGAAGGCAGGTTTCTGTGTGTATGTTGAGGATGCTTGGCATAATTATTGAGGCAAGACTGTGGTATTAAGTTGTAGGCTGTAAGGGTCTCTTGCCAGTCTTTATGGGAAAGAGCCATAGGACATAATTCCTTTAGGTTCACAGTTGGATTGCTGCTATACCCTTCCTCTGCCCCTGTAGTTGGTGTAATCAAGGAAGTTCTGATGCCTTTCATATGTAAAAAGTCAAAGAAAAAGAAAGAGAGACTTTAATGAGATCTTCTTGGTTGCCTGTGTTATGGCTTCGCTGAAGCCATAGAGGAGTCAAGAGGAGACTTGCACTGTGAGCTACAGCCAGGCTATGGGTCAGTCTACCCGACCATCATGTGTCAGTGACTGGAAAGAACAACTAGTTGAATAACTCATGTGAATGTCCATTTAATGGCATCACAGCTCCAGAAAATCCTTTCCTCATGTAGCAATTGCAGTATGCCCTCAGCTGCCTGTAGTGGTACACAGGATGGTTTTCTAATGCATATGTTAAATACCTCAAACCAAGAGAGAGCAGGATGGAAGTGCTGGGCCTCTGATGCCAATACTTATACAGGACTTTGGGACTTTGGAAAATATTATTCCTTCTGCCCTGGAGCATGTATAACCTGAATGTAATGTACTCTAAATACGGATCAAGATGAATCATCAGCTGCAATGATTAGAAAGAGAGGGGGATATTTTTCCTCGATAGCTCTCTGTGTATGTAGTCACAGGTGGGCAAGAAGCATAGGTCAGGTAAGTGACAGAGTCTCTTGTATTTAGGCCCAGAGCTGGAGAAGGTCATCCCTATAATTTGTAGGTTTATTTTTAGCAGACAGTGCCAATATTTCATCTTATCTGTACATAAGTGCCTAACCACACTTGCAGAGGAACCTGAGAGCTCCATCCCATTTACAAGATAAAAATAATTTTAAATAATTGGTTTTGCTGGTTTCTTTTTTCCTTAACATTTTCGTGTCTTTCATAATTCAATGTGCTCTTTTCTAGATGACACCACTAATAAACCAGGCCTGTGACATCCTGCTGTGTAACTTGAAAGTCTACGCAGATTCTGGCAAAGCTTTTGATATCCAGAGGTATGTTCAACATGCCAGAAATTAGTAGCAGATTTAAAAAAAAAAAAAAAAAGTCACTAGCAGCAGTTATTCTAAACATGCACTTACTGTATAAAAGTTTTTTTTTCCTCCCTTATTTTTAAGAGTGGAGATCATAGTTTAATAGAGGATGTGTCTGATAAATTCCTTTTCTTCCTGGGGGCAGTCATTGCATACTTGAAAAGTAATTTTGGTAAAGCATCTAATGTATTTCTAGCTGTTGTTTAATGAAGTTTTAACAGCTGGAAGCAGAAAGGAAGGCTGCATCAATCCCTGCCCAGTCTGTTCTCTACAGTCTGCCAATAATATACAAGTATAAGAATTGATCTGATATCAAATATCTCTAGTCCATCACCCTCTTGCTTTTTTTTATATGAGTTTTTTTGAGCACTTAATCATTCTTACCACATTCTTCACATCCCCCCTCATGGCACACTAGCCTTTTGTGAAACAATGGGATCGGTACTCCAGATGAGAATGCACCATTGGTTTATAAAATGACATTTTAATATTTTCCATATTGTGCTTTCTCTCATTTGTTATGCATTTAATATCCTATTATCTTTTTTGTTGCTCTTTCATCAGAGGTTTTCACTGAACTGTTCACAACACTTTCTTCTCTGAGTAGAGATGCATTTCCTGTAGGACCCTGTGCAGCATATGAGGAGTTTGAATGCGTTCTTTCTAGCAGGCCCTACTTTGTCTACACTTCATTTGCTGGGCTGGTCAGTGCCTTCTGAAGTTCTTTGTGATTTCCCCCAGACTGAAGAGGCACAGATAATATTGTTTCATCTGAAGAAATGGATATTTAGCGACAATTTGTTTATCTCTTTTCAAGGACACGTATATATGTGCACATGCAAGCGTACGTGTGTGCACAGAGAAGATCTCTTTATTAAACACCTGAAGAGATGCTGTAAAACCTCAAGATACATTACACTAGCCGAGTACTCTGATGAAAATTGACCTTTTGAGTCCCTGCAGACTTTTCTCTTTTTTCCATTTGTCTTTGCCTGGTCTCAGCTATTGATCTATTATAGGGTTTCACCTCTCAAGAGACATTTTGGAAAAGAACTTTTGAAAGTATAAATGAATGATGTTGACCATCTCAGAACATGATCTTCCAGTTGTTTTACCATACTACCATTTCAGCAGGTTTGACAGTTATAAATGTGATTCTCATTCCACTGCAGTTTCACAGAATTGCCTTGGGAGCTGGTTTTGGATGTAAATACCCTATCTGTAACCTCCTGTGATGTTGTACATTAGTTGTCTTTAGTCATTTTGTGTTTTGCCAACGAGTCTTGAGTTTTCAAGTTTTTTTTCAGTACCTTGGAGAGATAAATGATTGAGTGCCTCTGAAATTATTGTTTTATAGCAATGGACGCTCTTTTAACATTTCAGCTTCTAATAATGCTTTTTTTCCTTTTTTTTTTTTTTTTTTTGTGTGTGTGTTTGTAAGAGTTGGGAGACCCAAAGAAGCTACTTCACTTTGCAGTATTGCTGTAATCTTTCAAATCTGATCTGGTGTCATCAGAATGACAGCGCCCAAAGATCATAGTTTAGAAATAGTACTTCACAATGTACACAGGATATATAATGGGCCTTACTCTTGACCTTCTCTTCATACATGCTCACTCAGGTTAAAACACCAGAGACTGATATTAGCCTTTTGTAAGGGATCATAGAAAAACATTCATTGTAGGCTTGACCACAGATCAGGAGAATGAAATTTCAAGGACATTTTACATTCTCCAGTCCACTTATCTCAAAACTAAATAGCTGCTTAAGCCCAGTAGAAAAATAAAGATGGTGAGGCAACTGGATAGATGGTTAGATATGCAGGGAGAGATTCAGTAACTTCTGAAGTTTCTAGATCATGATCCACAGATGATTTGTAGTTCTCGAAGCACTGGTTGCTCCTCTGCAGAGATACAGATTTCACATGGTGTCAGTTCCTCTTGGTTTTGTCCATGGATTTACATTACAAAGGAGGTATAGCAAAGAAGAAGGAAATCCTTAAGCAATGTAATTTTATTTAAGCACCTCTTGATTTGAGAGTTTAGATGGGACTGGTAATAGATATGGTTCTCGCAGTTTAAAATGAGAAAGGAGCAATCTCTTTTATTAGGATACATACTAAGAAAATGCTTATGAATCTCTGATGATATGTTCCCTTTGATTTCTAGGTAATAACAAATTAAATTGTTTATTTCTAATAAATTTTTGATGGAATAATTGAGCTAAATGAAAATATGTTCACTTTATATGTGGAGAGAAGGTGACCATTATTAAGCATCAGCATTTGTCAGAATGATGGAAACATCTCTTGTTGGCAAAGCCCAAATCTAAAAGCAAAAAGAAACCCAGTGGCAAAAATTAATGCTATGTGATGTTTGTAGAAGCAAGATATTAATGGATATGTGATTTGTAGATAACAATGTATCATTCTTCAATTCAATGCAGGTGTTACAACTGCTTTACATTGGATGTCGTTGGTAGCGTAGCTTTTGGTACTGAGGTGGATTCCGAGAAGAATCCTGATGACCCTTTTGTTAAGAATTGTAGAACATTCTTTGAAATGTCTTTGTTTAAGCCTCTCCTCATTCTAATCCGTGAGTATAGACGACATTTGTCTGCTTCCTTATAGTAATTTCCTAAAAGTCATTCTGAACATACTGACGCCATAGCAGGAAGATTTATAGCTGACTTTATTTCAGAGGTGTTCAAAATGCAACCTACAGGCCAAATAGACCCCTGAGATTTCCACCATATGCTCTGCAGCTTTTGTCTCCGTTAATGAAACTTATTCCACAAACTGAGAGTCTGGGAACACAGTGCTCCAGGATAATCTGAGGGGAAATTTTCTGGGTCCTGCAGTTTTTATGGTATTTGTAGACTTCTCATTAAAACAAAGTAATGGTCCGTAAGAGTAAAGTTTTTGTGACTTGGTCTGCTTGGTAGAGATTGAAATCCTATCTATTAACCACATTAACAACCCACCACAGAAAAGTGGTGGAGGAGCATAAGCAGATAGTATGAGTCCTCCCAATTATTATTTGAATAGCAGCAGCAGCCTGGTTGGTGGCTCTAAAGGATAAAGATAACAGGCATCATGAAGAGAATGCACTTCTTGTCAGATGAATAGATAGCAATGCACGAGTGGGGTATAAAGCCATTTAATTCTAGGACACAGAAGCCAAGGCTTCATGGTGATGATGGTCTTGTTAATTCAAGGGCAGTAAGAATTGTAGCTGAGGAAGCCACAGCATAATCAATCCTATTGAAGTTTTATCTTCTTGATATCTAGACCTGCACACAGTAGTGTCAGGTGGCACAGTGGCAAAGTTTCCTGTGCCCATCTGATCCTGCTGGCACTACAGATTGCACCTGTACTCACAGCACATGAACTGTTCCCTTCTGGAGCTGTGTATCCAAATTGTCCTGGGGTTAATGTTTAACCTGATTGTGAATTGTGATTTGTGACCAATTTCTTAAGGGACAGAAATGTGCCCCTATATGTCTAAGAGCATGTCCTTCATTAAAGCAAATCTCTGTAGGGTTTGAGGTTGGATTCCTTTGTTCACCTCTTCCGCTGATTCGTTATGTGGTCTGAACTTCCACAATGTTGCCCTGCTGGCAGGACAGGGTTTGTCCAATGACTGATTTGTTAGTCTTACATTGTCCATAAATTAATGAGGAGTTTATTAGGATGCAAGACTTCACTCAGATTTCTACTTCCTGACTATGAAGGCCATGGACTGGAGACAACTCTTCCAGAATGTGTGGCCTGTTTAGACAAGTAAAATAAAACGGAATCATAAAACAGTTTGGATTAGAAAAGACCTTTGAAAGTCATTTAGTCCCCCGCCTGCAAAGAGCAGAAATGTCTTCGACTAGATACGTTGCTCAGAGCCCTGTTCATGCTGACCTTGAATATTTTCAGGGATGGGACATTCACCACCTCTCTGGGCAACGTTTTCCAGTGTTTTACAACCTTAATTGTAAAAACCATCTTCCTTATATCTAATCTAAACTGACTTTCTTTTAGCTTAAAACCAGTAGCCCTTGTCCTATTTCAAGAGGCCCTGATAGAGAAAGAGTTTGTCCCCATCCTTATAGGCTTCTTAATACTGAAAAACTGTAAATGAGAATGAACACTACACAATTTCACAGATTGGTGCCATAAGCTGCTAGGCTGGTTCAAGATCTCCCACCTTCTCTATGTAATTGGGTAGGCAGAGGAAATAATGCTCCCCTTTGTTGTGGTGGCTCTGTGGCATCAAAAAGCTGAACCAAAATCCTGAAGCATTGCGGAAGCAAGCTTGGACGGCATCTGTCTGACAGGAGAGTCCTGACCAGCATGACACTTATAAAAGGAAATCTTTTACCAGCCTGTGTGGGTGGAAGAAAAAGAGGGAGAGGGAAAGAGGAAAAAACAGGTTTCACAAAAGGAACACATCCCACTTGATGAGTTTTATAATATTAATGAAAGGAGCGGGGGGTGGGGGGGGAGACAATTATATGCCTTCACAGTCTGATTCAGTGTTTTCCTCTTTAAAATATCTTACAGTTTCTTTCCCATTCATAATGATTCCACTGCTACGCATTTTTCCGAACAAGAAACAAAAGGAACTGAATGGATTTTTTATCCGAACCATAAAAAATGCAATTGTCTACAGGCACCAGCAAGATGCAGCTGAGGTAAGGCTATTTCTGTGAGAAATATATGGGTAAGCAAATGTTTTGAGGGAAAACTGTAAGTGACATAAGCCTCAGTTTAAAAAGCAAATTCAGTCTGTTTGAACAGTCAGAGTATTTTAGTGAAGATTTTATTAACTTTTAGCTTTATGTACCATCAGGCAGGGTTGGTGTTTATGCAGAATTGTTAACACACTACAAGATTGCTTCTCTTAGTGTTTCTGTTCAAGTAAGGATGCAGAAAATGTTACATCTAGGATGACTTTTCAACCCAGTTCCTAGACCCAGAAGGAAGGATTCACCCTGTAGAATTTCTTCTCATCTTAAACTCAGGTGTTGTGTCTGTGCTACTTTTCCTTAAGAACCAGAGAAAACGAAGCCCCCACTGAGTGTTTCAACCCAGTCATTACCTAGGAGCTGGGGCATGTTTTATATAGTCCTGTCATGGTTCCTACAGCTTTGCAACATGGAAAGAACCTGAATGTCTGGCTAGAACAGTCAATTGATATAGAGATGGCTAACTAGAAAGGTAGTAAATGCCACCTGAAACATGCAAATAAATGGGTATGCATTATCAGCAAATAATTTGTTCCTCTTTTGTTTGGTCATAAGGTAGTCTGAGGGGATTTTTTTGTTTGGTTTTTAAGCACTGTTGTTTGTGAAGTATCTGAAGGCACATGCATTTTTGTGAACATCTCTCTGTTTTTGGTATATGAAGCATTTGGAAATAGGCCTGTGATTCAGTTCTGTGACACAAAACTTCATCAGGTCTGCTTGTCTTTTTGGATCATTTTTTACTGCAGACTGTGCACAGTATCCCTAAAAATAAGTTAACCAATTAATAATGGATGTGTAGTGAGAAACAAAGAATATCAGTGAGAATTCCATTTTTAAGGTAGCTGAGACAAATTTTAACAACTGAGATGAACCACACCACAACATACACATTAAAGAAGCTGTTAATATTGAAATATAAGAGATGTTTCTGAAAGGAAGAGCAATGCTGGTGGGCTAAGAGCACAGGTGAGACTGGGTCCTCCCAACCTTTTACAGCTTGGCCCCACAGCTTCACCCCAGCTGTCACCTTTCAGGATAAAACGAATTTTAGTTTATCTTACAGTACCTCCAGTAGACATTTAAAAATAAATTTGATATTCAGAAGTATTACTGCTCTTCGCTGTATTGCATGTTCTGCTCTTTGACTTTTTCTGCAATGAAGTCTTACTTCTGTGTTTGTTGCACTTCATCACCACCTGCTGTTGGTCATTCCTCCAGCCCACCTTCATCAGTCTTTGCCCTTAGCAAACTTTAAGTCTGACCTTCTTTACATCCAAAACATGGTAAGCACCACTGGCTGGCTGCAAACGACTCATGATTTGTAAATATTGCTGCTGGCCCAGGTTGAGTGGTGGAGGAGTATTTTCTAACAGGAATGGTGTAGCTAAACTGCTTTCAGACACCTCATTTCTAATGCACAGGTCCGGTGGGAACTTTTAATGGCGTACTGATTTGGCTGTATGTATGGAAAGACTTGGATCAAAGATTCATGCCAAAGGGGGTCTGCATGAAAAGTCTGTTCTGTGTATCAATTGTCAAAGGACAAAAGGGACAAAGAAATAATCCAGCATGGATTAAAAGTAGTTACTGTATTAACTATTATTAATAAAATGCAGTGTATTTCTGTAACAGTAGCACGGAGGGCTTCGATCATGGGCTAAATCCTTCACTATATCAGAGATGCTCACTCCCTTTTGAAAGGGAAAATGCCAAGAAAAGCAGGATTAGTGACAACAGGTTGAGCACAGAGGGTAATAATAGTCAATGGGGTAACATCAGACTGGTGACCTGTCACTAATGGGGCTCCATCTTAAGGCCTTTGCTCTTAAAAATCTTCATAAAGGATGCAGGACTGGAAGGGACACTATGCAAGTTTGCAGACTACACAAAACTGGGAGGAGCTGTTGACTCCCTTTAAGGCAAGAAGGCCCTGCAAAAAGACCTTGATGAATTAGAGCACTATACAATCACCAACCAGATGTGAAGTTCCACCAGGAAAAGTGCCGGATGAGGCAACCCTGGATGTATGTACAGACTGGGGAGTGAGAGGCTGGCAAACAGTGCCAGGAAAGAGACCAGGGGTCCAGGTCAATGGCAAGTTGAGTATGAATCAGCAGTGCACTGGCAGCCAGGAGGGCCAACTGTGTCCTGGGGGACATCAGGCACAGCATCACCAGCTGGTCAAGGAAGGTCTTGCTCTGCTCTGGTGCAGCCTTACCTTAAATATTGTGTGCAGTTTTGGACACTGCATTATAAGAAAGATAATCAGCTATTAGAGAGCATCCAAAGGAGGGCAATGGAGACAGTGACGGGCCTTGAGAGGAAACTGTGTGAGGAGTGGCTGAATTCACTTGTTCTTTCAGTCTGCAGGAGACTGGGGGAAGACCTCATTGCAGTTTACAACTTCCTCATGAGGGGAAGAGGAGGGGCAGGCACTGATCTCTTCCCTGTGATGACTGGTGACAGAACCCAAGGGAATGGCCTGAAGTTGTTTTAGGAGAAGTTTAGGTTGGATATTAGAAAAAGATTCTTCCTCTAGAGGGTGGTTGGGCACTGGAACAGGCTCCCTAGGGAAGTGATCACAGCACCAAGCCTGACAGAGTTCAAGATGTGTTTGGTTGATGCTCCTGGCACATGGTGTGACTCTTGGAGACAGCCCTGTGCAGGACTAAGGGTTGGACTCAATGATCCTTGTGGGTCCCTTCAACTCAGCCTATTCTGTGACAAGAGCAGGAGGCAGAAATCTGTGCATATGCAGCCTGTTTGCAGGTTTTACTGGTTGATGGAGCAGAGCTATAGGGTTATATTGGAAGGGATGTAGGGAGATGCTGTAAGAGATAAGACATGGCAGTAGTTGCCCAGTATCAGGGCAGTGTGGAGGAAAGTACAAGGTCCATGTTTGCCTTAGCAGTGTATGCATAAGTCCATGGACCCATCTGCTCCTGGACTTTTGCCTAGTTTGCAAAATTGGCATGTGGGAACTATTTCAAATCCTGGGAGTTAGACGCTTGGACCAGATTTCTGAGGGCACATTAAATCCCCTTTGCAGTTCAGGATCATTACTGTGGCTTTCAAAAGTGGCTGGAAAGTTTGGAGCTTCCTCTTTTTCCCTTTTCACTGCCTGTCTTGTTACGTGTTCTTAGAATTTTGACTGGTTTAGGTTGGTGGTGCATGAGTCTTGTTACAGGTATGGACAACTTAATAATTTGCCAGGGACATAAAAATGGTATGTGAAACAATTCAAAATGCATTTTTTAAAAATTTATCCAGAAATTGCATCTGTAGAGATTAGGTATCCCAGAGAGCCCTGCACGTGAAGGAGAATTATGTCCTGTGTCCTAGGTCTCAAGTGATGAAATGTACCCACTGAAGCCACTTGGAATTTTGGCACTGAATTTTAATGAGGCCAAGCTATAACTGGTGGCTACTGGTTTGTGCTAATCTAGAACTGTAAGCCAAGTCTTATGATCTCCCTGAGGTGCATTAGGCCAATGGGTATTCCTTAAGTTGCCACATTCCTGGATGTTACATTGTGTGCATCTTTTACTCCTCGTTGATTTTAACATCATTAAAAATACTTTTGGGTTCTTTTCTTGAGGCGGGGGGTGGTGGGAAGGATAAAAAAAAACCTTTGGAACAAACAATGAAAAGCTCCATGACAGTGATTCAGCTGAAGCTTGTCTTCCTCTCATCTTCAGCAAATGTGAACAAAGAATAAAGACCAAAAAACAACGTGGCAAGCAAAGTCAGCCTGTTATCATCCCTGTTCTATCAGTAAATGAAACAATGCTTCTGAATGCCTAAGAATAATCCCATGGGTAGATAGTAATTTTACAGCCAGGTTTAGATCTAATAATATGCTTGCAGCTTACATGAGATCTGTGATGTCACTTTCTCTCATGCCATTGCTTAGTGGTGCAGATGTCATTTTAATTATATATTATCTTTCTGTGGTCACTCGAATAATTTTAGTCCTGGATATTCAACTCATTTGGCTTATGTACAAAAACATTTAGTGGTTGTACTTTAGAAATTTTAATATGTTACATTTATTCATGGATTCAAATTATTGTAAAAGGCTTTTCCCACTATTTACAGAAGAGCAAATTTACCCTGCTCAGAAGAAAAAGCACAAATTTAATGCACCACTTAACACCTACTTTGAAGACTCCAGCAGGATTTAAGTGTTCAAATACCTTATCCTGATTATCTGCCCAGGCTTAAATTTTTCCCTGAGGCAAAATATTTCCAGAAACAGGGCAGATAGACTGTTTATTTTAATAAATGATCTTTGATAGATTTTCATTTAATAATCTGATATGCAAATCATTCATTATTCATGTAAGAGTTGTTTTTATATCATGTTATAACTCAGTTCTTAACCTACCAATTCCTTTTAAATGATGATATCTAAATGAAGAAGTCTTTTATAGTGCTCAAAACTGAGGCTGCTTTCTAAAACTGTGGGTTGAAACTAAGCCCCCTGTCAGCAGGTAGAAGTCCAGAGTTTCATTTGTAATCCATAGTAATAGCTCTTGGAAGGTAACAAGAATATTGCAAAACATTATTTTTGGAAAATCACAACCGATCTGTGGGAAAATCCATTTTTCAAACTATACATCCTTTAACAAGGAGAATTGGAGAGTTCATAGAGGCTTCAATACATTCTCTGACATCTCCTGATTTTTCCAGTCGTACTGTCTTCTGTCAATGCATAATTCGAGGTCACAGATCCATGCCAGGACGGTAGTGATCCAGTATGTTTCTGATGATCATCAGCTCCTTCTTGGTGGTCTCAAGCTGATTTGAAATGAGAGAGTGACAAAGCACAGGGAAGTATCACCAGAACTGTTTTCATTGGCATCTTGGTTTGCAGTTTAGTTGGTCTGGGTAGACACCTACAAACTACCTGAATGCTTTTAATGTAAATGCAGAACAGACAGAAG